AAAAAAACAAACAAAAAAAAACGTAGGCGTTGTCTTATCTGGTGTTGTTGTTGGAATTTTTTGACTTCCAGTTGCCTGTGTAGGGCTGACTTTGTGACACACACACACGCACGCACGCTTATCACTGTAATATTCCTGTTGTCACTTGTGTGTAGCACTTGAGTGAGTTTTACTCTACAGTGTTTTGAACTTTTCTGAATTTCTGTGTTAGTACTTGGTGATACAAGCGTTGTGATGAGTATCGCAGTAATAATCTTTCACAAGCTCACAGTGTGCACGGGCTCGTCAACGCTGAGTTTTCTGTACTTGACAGCATGTTCCCCCCTCGCATTTGATTATTGACTTTCTGCGGTGTACTGCTCTTTCTCTCTAGCTGCTTAAAGATACAGTATTTTCTCCTGTGTAAGGTCACGCACACACAGAAAGAGATAGAGGGAGGGGGAGAGAGAGAGAAGAGACGGAGAGAGAGAAGAGAGGGAGGGAGGAAGAGAGACAGAGTGTTGTTTTGCAGACAGGATTACATTGTCTCCCCCATGTCAGATTTCAGACAATATGTTAAACATTTCTTCTACAGCCTGCAGCTCTCACTCTGTGGTTATAGCCTACGAGTGAATACACCCTGCTACACAGCACAACAATAAATGAGCTAACTTCCCCAAATTGTTAGATAATAAATAGTTCTTAAGAGCTCCACCTGTTCTCCAGCTCATGAATAGGACCTAGGACCAGGAATAGAGATAAACACATGCAGTCAGTGAAGCTGTCGGGGGGGGGGGGGGGGGGGGGGGCTTTTTTTTTTTTTTTAAATGTCTGTTCCAAAACCACAAAGCTTAAATCTACCTGGAGATTTCCATGTGGGAGTGTTTTTTCTTAGGACGTTATGTCATACAAGTGTCTAAACAGCGTCATGCCTGAGATCACTTGTTGAGCATTGTGTGGAGAGAGGCGAAAGAGGAACATGAGCTATGTTTAAATGTGACATATTGTGGCTATCAGTTGACTATTACAATTGTGATTCATGTTGAATCAAGCCTCTACCGCAGTTGCAAAATGACAGAGCCTGTGCAGGAAAATGATTTTTTTTTTTCTGGAGAGCCTGTCGCAGATGCTTCATATTCACATACTGATCCCTCGAGAGCTCACACATGACTCGAGTGAAGCTTTTATGTATTTGATTGCCTTCCACCATTGTGCTTCTTTTCATACACTGAGTAAATGCTGCATACATTCGGCTTTTGTCAATAGAGCTGTTTGTCTTTTTGTAAGCGTAAGCTTGTGTGCTTACTTTTCCATCCCCGTGCTTATCATGATGAAACTTTCAACTCTACCATGACTCTTTATCTCTTCCAAAGACTTTTGTTTTGAAGTCCCCCCACCCCATCCAATTATTTCCCTGTATCTGTGGGAGTAAAATTAGCAATTTCATTTTTGTCTTCTCCCCTCAGAATGTGGAAGTGTTTTATTGGTGTGGCGAAAAACAATGAGGACAAGGCAGGGCTTTGTGGTGGCAGAAATGCATTTTTAACCCATGTGAATGAATGGCGCCTCACATTCCACAGCAGCAGGCCCTTTACTGAATGGCAGCACTAACTCGGCTGTTTTCATTACTCATTACTGCCTTGTGCCTTTTCACCATGGACATAGTCATTTACCTTCACCAACTGAGAGGGGGGTGCGACACTATAAAGACTCTGTCCTAGGTGATTTTTCTTTTAGGAAATACTGCAGTGTTGGATATTGGGAATTTTACTGATTAACGTTACTAGTTCTGTTGAATTAGTCTCAGCACTTAACATTAAAGCTGCTATAATCAAAAAATTTGTATTAATAATGGATCGAATGACTATGTGTAATGTGAAAGGTGTTGCTCGAAGTGATAATCCCACAGTGAATTATCACCCGCCATTGCAGTTCCCCTCAGCTCTACAGAGATTTATACATTGACTTTGTCTTGTTCTGATTCAAAGCTAGCAACTAGCCAGTTTGTTGCAAGATATTAACTCAAGTTAGTAACAAACACAGTGGAGCATTAATCAGCTAAGAACCAGATATTTCCCTCAGGGGTTGATGGAGACCACACCAGAGCTGAAAGGAGTGTGAATATTGGACTTGAATTCATCAGGTGGCCAGAAACACAACCCCAAATGAATGCTAATGTTGCTCCTTATCTAGTGGATATGTAAATGAGCCACCATTTGCTAACAAATCAACTTAAAGGGTGATGACTATGTCAGTGTTGTGTTTACAGCTTGTTTCACCTGTCCCTTGTTGCCACAAAAATCACTGAATGTGGGTTTAAGAATAGTATACTGGGTTTATGATCTTGGTTAGCAAAATCATCTTAAATGCATCTTTAATTTTTATTACCAGGTTTGCATTTACTCTTGTTCTCAGTTGCATCTCCCTGTTATCGTATCCCTGTACTGTTGGCTTCAGTGTCTAGACGTATGGTAGTAGAGATATTTGGAGTGATTTTCTAATGTAATACCAACAAGTTCCAGTTGGGTGGTACATGCTTATGTCATAGACTGAATCCATTCAGTTCCTTTTACAGTGTAATTGCTACCCTGCTCTACTCCTTCATCTCTGTCCAAACTATTCATGTTAATGTCGCGTCGCTTTGATCTAGAATGAATATGAGATAAACTAAAGGCATCAAGTCACAAGACAGAGGTTTTTTTCATACTGAGTCAGTTAGGCTGAAGTCTTACGTATCCTGCTCTTTGTCTCAACTCTTCCTTGTTATGCTATAGATTGTATCAGTCTTTTCTGCATGAAAGCAATCTGTATCTGCCTCTGCTCACTTAAATAACTTTCTGTGGCATATTGAAGTTAGATTATGGAGAGCAAACAACAAGTGCAAACCTATTTCAGCAGCTGTTCCTTTTTTGAGTATGAAACAAAAGAGTAAAAAAAAAGAAGTGCTCCTCTGCTTTGCTGGTGGTCCGACACACATCATTTTAATATGAGGTGTAGTGTCTGTTCTGTGGTGACGGCATTTATTCCCTGCTGCATGGTGGGGGTTTCCACTCTGAAAGGGCAATCTCTCTGTGTTAGCCTAGAAACACCAAGCTCCTGGATTAAATTATAAATGAGCCCTCCATGGGAAACACGTTGCTTACTCAGAAGGAATTTACATTTCCTGTGACTGTCTTACCACACATCTCCAATATATGTCCAAAAACATTCTTGATTCCCCACTTTCTTGAAACTTTGGTAACAGGTGGGTAATTAATCCCTTTATTTGGGTCACACCTGCATCCTCCCCACCCATATGGATCAATAGAGTCTGTGCCAAGCCAAGCAGCACTGCCCAGGTAGCAAAGTGTTTAAATTAGACCCAAAGAAAATGATGTAGTAATCGGAGGATTAAGATAGGAGAGGGGTTGGAGTTGGTGGGGGGTAGGGGAGGTGCTTCTGGTGGGATTTAGGCACAGGGCCATTTTAGCCTGGTGGTGGGGAGGGGGGAGAGGAATGAGTGGTGTGCTGTGTAGGGGTTCAACCGTTGCGCATACTGATATTTTGTGCTGAAATTGTTATCATGACAAAGATTCCGTTTTTCACCAGAAGTTTGTTGCTGTGGTGGAAAACCCCTGTGAGACAGTATGCCATCATGGGACCCCAGAATAACCCGGTAAAATCCATACCTCATGGATATTTTTACCAAATCTTGTGATAACAACTGTACAAAATAGACAAAATGCGTTTATTGAGAAATCTTTCTCAATACAAATCTGTTGATTTATTGGCATGGCTTAGGAGATATTCAGAAATTAAATCAAAGTTAATGAAGTGGTTTTGTTTATTGTAATTATTTAATATGGTTTCATACTGACTCAGCGCGCTTTGCCTTTATCGGGGTTACTAATAAAAAGTGTTATTTATGCAGGTCCTGTCATTATCCAAAGTAACAACAGCTGAATGTGGGTGTGGAAACAACCCACACTAATTAGTTGCAGATTTTTTGGATTTTATATTACAAAAGGCTTCAGTATAAATATTATTAACAACAAATTGATTAAAAATGGTCAAACTGGGATCTACATTATTAGAACCAGTGAAAATGGAGCCACAGTGTGTTGTCCACACTGAATGTTGAAATAAGAACAAAGGGTACACCTGCTTGTCAGTGACAATTGACAGTGTTTCTAGGAACCATTTCAAGTCATTCAGTGTTGAGATCAATCGCAGTGATCGGCACACTTCCTCAATATTTTACTGATGAAAGGAGATGAATGGTTACATTTGCAGAGTTCAAGCTGAGACAATGTATTTTGATTCAGGGTTAGTTGCAATTGGTGCAGGTATAGTTTAGCAAAAAGCATCTTCTGGTTGGA